CAACATTTTTCCAGGATTTTGATCAAAATTCTCTGACTTTTCCAGGTTTTTTGAAGGTTTATAAAATACCCTGACATTTCCAGGTTGCGTGTCAACTCTGAGTTCTTTTCTGAATTTTTGCTAATATTTTTTCTAAATATTTTTGTTGCACTTGGAACAAAAAATGATTATTTCTAAATTATAATACCTTATGTTTGATAAACTGTAGAGGATAGACATGTGTACGGAAGCTAAACAAATCTGCTCAAATGGATCAATGCACGGAAAGAACTTTTATTCGAAAATTTAACAAACAGTTTATTAAACTTTAACTATTGGATGTTAGCTACAAAATATTAATAAGAGAGTCCCTATAGTAAAATGCCACCGCGAAAAGGAAAGAATGTAATACCAAGTAAACATATTCTCTTCTTTTCACTCTGACACTTTACTTGTGACGCTATTAACATTCTGTGACAGACATCAAGTAGCCCAGGTTTAATAATCTGTTTATTAAATTCAAAAATAAATTGTCTTTCCACGTACTTTTTTGACAATTATAATAAAAAATTTCGTCAAATATGAAGAAATAAGTTTAAATTCCGTTAAGTAAAGAAAGAAAATCGTCAAAATTCAACATGGATATAGAGTCGTATTAAAATTTATTCATATGCATTTCGCACACGTGGAGTTAGGCAGAAACCTTAAAAATAGGAACATACATATCAGGATAAGATTTATTGGATAATTGGTCATCATATTTTAAAAAGTAGGTCAAGTCCCGCATTGAAAAGACTGATAACAATGATAAACTTACTATGAAAGAACAGTTTACACGTTATTCGCATAATATTTTATGAATCCTTTCAATTTTTCTGTCAATACATAGACATCGATGCAACCTTTATTGGAATTCGCACATCAGACCGGAATATTTATGAAATAATCTATAGACCCATCCCTTTTCTTCTTTCCTCTTTCTCTCTCTCTTTCTTTTTTTTTTTTTGGAGGAAAATCAATGCAATAAAGCTTGGTTTTATTATCAGAGAGAAATTCGGAATTTTAAAGCAAAAGGTAAAAATTAAAGAATGGCATAAACGCAAAGATATTTACGATGTTGAAAATTCCATAAAATAAATAAATTTTCATAATTTAATTTTATAATAAAATAATAATTTATTACATATTTGGCACAATTTTCATCTATATATTGTAATTGTGATTACATTATACATTAATATTTTGATCAATATACATATAATATTTGCGGCGCATGAAATAATTGTGATTATGCTGCTGCATTTGCAATATTGGCTTTAACTACAAAATATTTAAATATACGATAATTATGATTAATAAAAAAGTAAAAAGAAATTTAGATAAATAATTTACTATTCCTATCAGAAAATATTCAAATCGACAGAAACTGTAAATTTATATTATAATATTTATCGAAAACATTTCGTACACTTGATGGATGTACGTAGCGTGAATTTATAATTGGATCAATATTTGGGAAATATTAGGATTTGACGGATGAAAATTCAATCAGTAGTAGATTAAACATTTCAATTGATGGTACGATATTGGTGGAAATTGTTAATAATAATGTGCAAATTGAATACAAATTGTCCGTTAGTAATTTGATATGAAAACAAATTTACCAACGTTTTCTCAATTTTATAAAAGTGTAGTAAATATGAAAATTAAAAATAAAATACAGTAATAAATTCCAAAATTAATTGTTTAATTCGTTTTTTACCAAATTATAGAAAGTGTTAAATAAAAATTGCCTCCTTTTATGTGTATTATTATTCATAGTTGACACAAACATTTTATTTTGTTTTTCTTTGATTTCGAGACAGAATTTTATTAACCCAGTGACTTTTATCGATCTTTGAATCTAACTTTTTGTGATGTAAAAGAATTTATGCAATAAAAGTAACTCGATAATTTTCGTGGTTGTTGAAAACGAATCTAGCATCTGCTTTTCAAAATTCAAAATGGCGGATCTAGTATGGCGGACAACTAAATTAAAAATTAACCGACTTGTCTTGAAATTTATTACTTGGGGGTTTTGAAGGTTCCTAATTAAGAATATGAATCAATTTAGTTAAATACCGTGACATTAGCTATGGTGAATTTACATTTAATATTTTAAAAAACATTTTTTAAATTCATGATCTTAGAAAGTGCGCAACATATTGTAATCAGTTTCAAGTGATTCCGATCAAATTTAAAAAACTGTCCGCCATATTGGATCCGACATTTTGAATTTTGAAAAACTGATGATATACTGAACTGATAAGAAAAACTGATCTGATACACAATTATTTTATATTGTAAGAATATTGTACTTCTTCAAAATTATTATCATTATTTCAATTCAATTACTACCTATTTTTAAGAATTTTTAACTAAAATTCTTTTTTAAAGCAATTAATTTTTGAAAAAGTTCTTTGACGATTTTCAAATCCATTTGCTTACAATATTCCATTTTACGAATTACAATTATTCGTAAATTCTTCAATTAAATATGCATTAGAAAATAAAAACTTCAAATAATATAAAAAAATTTCAATTAAACTTTTCCAAAAAAATTAATTTCCAAATTCAATTATTTATAAAAATTTACGCTATATTGCTTTTAATATTCAATTATTATCTAAAATTTTAACTGAAATTCATTTTTAAATCAATTTTTATTAGAAAATTCTACTGGAATTCAATTATTTAAATTTTAAATACAAAAATAAATAATTTATTGAATAAATTGAATGTTTCTTAGAATTATTGAATTCTCACAAAGAATTTTATTTAAGAATAATTAGATTTTTCGAGAAATTTGATTAAAATTGTATTAAAAATAATTGAATCCCTGTAAAAATGCTATTATTTATGTAAATAATTGAATTATTGCGAAGAAATATATAAAAAATTTGTAAATAATTGAATTAATGTGAAATTTTTTCTTATTTATCAAAATAATTAAATTTATTTTATATAATTGAATTCTTTTAGAAAATTTTATTAAAATAGTACATATTGAAAATCATTGAATTGTAGAACATTTTTGAAAATAGTTAAAATTTTGCCAATTTTTAAAATTAAACCTTTTCTAAATTCAATTATTTTTAGAAATTTATCCTAAAATGCTCTTAATATTCAATTATTATTTTATTAGATCATTCTACTAGAATCCAATTATTTAAATACAAAAATAAATAATTTATTAATTAATTGTTTCTTAAAATTAAATGCTCGTAAAGAATTTTAACTAATAAATTTTGAAATAAGTGAATTCTCACGACAAATTTTAACAAAATTTTAAAAAATAATTTCATTTTTCAAGAAATTTGTTTAAAATTTATTGTATTAAAAATAATTGAAATTCTGCGAAAAGTTTTATTATTTGCAAAAATAATTGAATCCCTAAAAAGAATTTTATTATTTTTGAACATAATTAAATTTCTGCAATAATTTGTAATGAAAAGAAATAATTTATTGAATAATTGATTGTTTCTTAAAATTCAAATTTCATAAATAATTATATCAACAAATTTTTAAATAATTGAATTCTTTTGACGAATTTTAATAACATTTTTAAAAACAATTACATTTTTCGAGGAATTTGATTAAAATTGTTTATTAAAAATAATTGAAATTCTGCGATGAGTTTTATTATTTATGAAAATAATTGAATTCCTAAAAAGCATTTTATTATTTATGAAAATAATTGAATTCCTAAAAAGCATTTTATTATTTACGAAAATAATTGAATCTCCGTAAAAATTTTATTTTTATGAAAATAATTGAATTATTGCGATGAAAATGATAGAAAATTTGCAAATAATTGAATTACTGCAAAATTTTAATTATTTTATGAAAATAACTAAATGTGTTTGACAAGAATTTTATCAACAATTTTGAAAATAATAATTGAAATCTGGAGAAGAATTGATTATTTCTAAAAATAATTGAAATTTTTCTCAATTAAATTAGGGACTTTACGCACCTTTTTTAAAAAACGGACTTTTACGGACTTGAAGCAAATTTACGGACCTTCACGGGATTTACGGACCTAGTTCGAGCCCTATAGATACGCTAAATTAAAAATTTTGAATAAACTAAATATAATTAATAATTAATTATAAATAAATTTATTTATTTTCCTTGAATTTAATGTTCTTGACATAAAAAATCTCTAAAAAAAATTGCTTTAATTTATTATTAACCAGCAAAGATATAAAAATAATCTACATTAAAGAGGAATATTTATTTTGAGAAGATAAATTAAGTAAGAGGATATTAGAAGGTAATTTTACCTCCTGATATTACATTTTTCTGAATGCATTCCAAAAATTGAGAAAAAATTTTTAAAATTATTAATGATTTTATTTGTCAATATTCCGCCAATATTGAAAATAGAGCATAAAAGGCGTTTACGAATTTTATAAAGTACTTTATGATGATACAATATTTCACGCCAAAAATATTGAGCCAAAAAGAACATTTTAAAAGGTTTTAAAAACTTATTTGCCAAGTTTCTGCTTTAAGATTGAGCGAAAAACATTAGTTAGAATTTAATCAAAACTTGAGAATCCTACACTCAAAGTTTCAAATGAAACTTTATTTATAAAATGCTGATAATTTCCCATCGGGAAAATTACCAAAGACAATTAAATTTTTCTTTTTCAAAAAAAAAAAAAAAAAAAAACTTTTCAAGCAGTTATAATAACCACTTTCCATCTGGAGAGTCTTAAGTTTATAGGAAACTTTCCAAAGTATACACATACACAAAGAAATCACAAACAATTTTAAAGAAAAAATGTTTCTTTCCTTATTTCAACAATTTTTTATAACTTCTAAGATGATTTTTTTTCATTTCATTCAAAATTTTCTGCTTACGTTTCTATGTGAGCGCATCTAAAATATTTTTTACGAATTTCAATATCTTATTTCGAAATTGATCGCGAATTATATTTCTCCAATTCACATTGCGGTTTTTGATTTATTTTTAGACGGGAGACAGAATAATCGAAGTGGACGGAATAGATTTGCGGAATAGTTCATATGAAAAAGCTGTGGAGGTGATTCAAGCCTCCGGCAATCCGGTATGTCTTCTGGTACAGTCATTGGTGCATATGGTAAGTTCTTAAAATATTCATTACTGGAAAAACAAATTTCATTTTATTAAAGAGAGGCCAGAATAACTAAGTTTCGAAAAAGTTTTATTATTAAAAAAATTTAATTAAAAAGAGAAGAAAACAATTTAGAAGAAAGTTATGTTTGTCTACTGACGACCTACGCCCTTGACCTAATAGTTAAGGTCATATTCTCTTCTCGACTTGCAAATTTTGACCTAAATTTTTAAAGTTGATTTCTTATACGACCTATGACTTGCGATCTAAATTATGAGGTTACTCCCGTTTCTTGACCTGCAATTTTCTTCTTAAATTATAACGTAACGTAGCGCGTCTCTACACAAATACGATGCAGAAGTATCTTTAAATTTCAGGTCAAGAGACTATTATAATGACAAATATTTTTTTATTTATTCATTTAATAGGTAGAATATTAAATCAAATGTCTCAAATGAAAAGGGACGTCCGGGCAAAATTTTAATAAAAAACCAAGACGTGAAGTAAGATTGAAAATTAAGGTAAAAATTTGTATCCTAAATTCACCTTTTAACCCCTTTACAGTTAAGTGAAAAAAATCATTTTTGGGCTACACATCGTCTAAAGAAAAGTTTCTAAAAAAATTTGATTGAGTTATATTTAAGATCTTTGGGGCCACTAAATTCGAATTTAATGTCAAATTTGAAAAATTAAAAATGGCGGATTCAATATGGCAACCAAAATTTTTAAAAAATTAACGTATTTATTTAAAAATTTCATAATCTATGAAGTTCAGTTATTGTTAACAATAGAAAAAAATTTTTAAGTTATTATTTATTAAAATTCGTGGTGATTTCAAAATTTATAAGATGAACAAGAAAAATTTCAGACGGACTAAAGTTTTTCATCATATTTTCAGAGGATACCAAAAACTAGAATTTTTTTATCCATGCTAGAAGTTTAATACTTTTTCCAGTATATACTTTTGATAACATTTTCTGACTTTTCCCTGATCTCTTTAACCTGTGGCAACCCTGTAAAGTGCGAATGATGAAAATATTATAGTATCAGGAGGACAAAGAGAATACAGTTGAAGTGATACGTCGACAAGAGAAGAGGAGGAAGAGTAATAAAGTAGAAACTTGATTTTAGTATAATCTCACATTTTTCAAACATTCGAAGAACATTTCATATTTAATTAATTTGTTATTACATAATTTTACATTACAATTTATTTTGACAAATTTTAAAAAATCCAGTTTTATAATATAAAAAAAAATTATTTAACCCTTTAACGGCCGAGTTTTTTTCCGTTAACTTAGAAATATAATAAATAGCAAGTTTAATTATTCTAGTATTGAATATGAGAAAGAAAGTTTTTAAACAATTTTCACCCTTAAAACTACCCCTAACGAAGATTACTACACGGAGAGACCCACATTCGTAAAAATTACTAAAAACGGTTGCAATGACCGGAAATAAGGGGACTTTTAGCATAATGTACTACAGAATTAGATAAATTTACAAAAGAAATAGATAAATTTGCTACATTGAAATAGCAAGTTTTAATATTTTGTGTAAGAGTTGTAAATGTAGCGAAAATTGATTATAGTTTTCTCTAATTTAATTAGACAAAATCTGACAAATGAAAACATTTTCCACTAAAATCTTCTATCCACTGTAGTAATTTTTGGTGAGCAAGTGTGGCTAGCGAGTGCAGTCATATGGCGCCTGTATTTCTATTGGTTGCTAACCTCGTCAATCTCCGTAAATGAGCCGATGCCTTCCGATCATTGACAGTGACTATGTTTCGCGTATGTAAAATAAATTTGGATATTATCTACAATAATTAAATATAAAGTGAAACGTAGGTCGTTCGGTATCTCAGAAATTGACCATTATAAATTAATAAATTTTGCATTTATTCCTGTCCCAAGAAGTATGTCTTATAATAAGTTGTTAAAAGTAAACTGCTTTCTCGTAAGTGCTGTAAATTTTCATCATTCAATATATAAGGAAACAAAGATGTATACTTTCAGTGAAATTCGTTGTCGTGCGTGCAGTTGTGTATTAGTGTATTAATTAACCGCGTCTATACATATAAGTGAAATAAACATGTGTGTGTCTTCAAATATTTATCCAACAACAAATATATAAGTGTGTGAGTGTGTGTGTCTGTGTATGTAAAAATCCTTCCAGTTTACCTCCACTAGTCAAGAATTGACGGGAAACCGGCGACAAAAATCCGTATTTTTTCTTTTCACTCTTTCTTTCTGCATTTACAACGACTATAGTAATTTTACGTACACAATGTTTCTGAGTTTTACTACAGTTGTTTGGAACTATTGGACGAAATAGTAAGAAACTTTGCTAATTTGGTGAACATTTGTCGGGATTAGTGACTTAGTGTAGAAAATAGTAAAAAATACAAAAAGTCCCCTTATTTCCGGTGGTTGCAATGTGAATATAGTAAATTCTAGTGTGATTTTATACAAAAATTAGTAATCTCGGTCTCTCCGTGTACCTTCAGACAGTAATACATGATCTAAAATGAATTTTAAAATATTTTACGGCTTCTACATGATTTGTAAATGTTTATTAATATGCCCGGAAGGTTTGAAAATTAAAAACGATGATCGAAAATAAAAACCCTTTCGGAACTCTACATATTATCATAATTATTAATAAATAGATACTAGAATGTGTTTCTAACACTGGAAAAGGTATTTCATTACCTTCCTATAACAATTAAGTTTCAGGCAAATTAGAACGATTTTTAAAAACATCGTCTTCCATATTTGATCTGTCAATTTGCTTTTTGAAATTCAGATGTCAAATTCATAATCAGCTAACCCAAAAACCTCCGAGTAATGAGTTTCCGGCGAATTAAATCAATTGAAAAAAAATGTTGGTTTTATATGGGTAGTTTTTATAATTTTTTTATTGCCCTGGGGTGATTTTTTGTAATTAATTTTTTTCTACAAATCAAAACAAAATAAAAAAAAAATTTTGTTTTGATTCGGACATGGGTATCAGAATCAAAAGTAGTCTTTATTTAGTTTCGATTCAGATTACCAAATCAAAAATAAATATTGTTTATGTTCTGATTAGTATATCAAAATCAAAATTCCACTCTGTTTAGTTTTGAATTTGATTTCAATATCAGAATCAAAAGTCTTTACTTTTTAATTATGATATAAATATGTGCATCAAAATAAAAACTTTAGATATTAAAATAAATATTGATTTGAATTCATCACTCGGTGTTATTTAATAATAATGATGGCTTTATCAATCACTCCAAATCATTCAGAATAATGAAAAAAAATAAGAAAAATTTTTTTCTTTACGTTTCAACGGCACAGCCGTCCTCTTCAGAAACTGGAACTTTATTATAATTTATAAATATACGTACATAAAATTCATTTACAATTAAAAATTATTTTACAAAAAGATATTAAAATTATGTAATATCGAGATAAATAATGTTTTATGTATTGATGTCATATACACTATAAATTTGAGCAGTAACGTTTGATGTGCATTTTACATGCGTAAAATTTGTTGCGCATATCAAATATGAAATATATCAGAAGAAAACCCAATGTAATTTGAAGTAGACTTTTGTTTCGTTAATGTATCAGAATCAAAATAGAAAATAACTTTTGTTTGTATGTAACATATGTAATAATCAAAGCATTTTAAAGGGATGTACACTGAGAGAAAAGAATAGTTGTGGTAATCATTTTTTCTAAAATTATTTTTAGTTGGTAAACTATGCTGCTGCTAATTTATTGGTTGCCCTGGTAAAAATTTCGGACTAATTCCGGATTAAATACGGACAGATTAGTACGGATAAGTCCGAAAATTGTACGAAAAAGGTCCGAAAATGATCCGCGATAGTCTGATATCAATCCGAACGAAAACCTGAATCCGAAAACACTCTGGAGTAATCCTGAATGTCTACGAATTCAGTCCGTAATTAGTCCGCAACAATCTAAATTTATGACCGGCGAAGAATTCTTCTAAAATAAGTACGGAATTATCCGATATCAATATGTAAAGAATACGGAATCAGTCCGCAACAATCCGAGTTTAATCTAGTTAAAAAAACTTAATCCGCAAAATGTCCGGAGCAATCTGAACTCTGTACACAAGAAATCCGGTATTAGTCCGCAACAATTTAAAATTAAATGTGGCAAAATCCTATTTCGAAAGAAGTACGAAACAATCCGAAATCTGTATGCTAAGAATCCGAAAATTGTCTGCAACAACCAAGATTTAATCCAACTAAAAGGTATAATCCGAAACAAATACGAAATAATCCGAAATCTGTACAAAAAGAATCCGACATAGTCCGCTTCAATTCGGAATTAATGTGATAAAATCATATTCCGAAACAAATACGAAACAATCCGAAATATGTATATGCTAAGAATCCTGTAATAGACGGCCACCCGAATCAAATTATATCCCTGATAAAAATTTCGGACTAATCCGAATTAAATCCGGGCATATTAGTGTGGATTAGTCCGATAATTGTACGAAAATGATCCGCGTTAATCTAAAATCAATCCGAGTGAAATTGTGAATCCTAAATCAGTTTGGAGTAACCTTAAATGTCTATAAATTAAGTCCGTAATTATTATTCAACAATCCGAAATTATGTCCGTCAAAAAACTCATCTAAAATAAATACAAAATAATCCGAAATCAGTCCGCAATAATCCGAATTTAATCCAGTTAAAAGATTGAATTCAAAACAAGTATGGAACAATACAAAATCTGTATGAAAAGAATCCGGTAATAGTCAGGGTCAATCCGAATAATATCTGATCAAAACACCACAGCCCGAAAATAAGTCTTATTATTATAAGAATTTGTAAATATATACAATCCACAGACAGTTCAATACAATCCATATTCAATCTAATTCAAAGACTTAAAGTATCCGGAATGGTTTTAGAACAAAAATCTGTCCATAAGCAGACTGTTTCGGATTAGCTGCGGATTCACTGGTTAAACCAATCGGATTACTTCTGCATTTACTAGTTGCATATGATCTGACTAACTACAGACTAAACCGGACTAATTACGGATTCAATAGTTATAAAAAACGGTATTGATTTCAAACTTAATTCATGGTGAAAAAACTCCACAATAAACCGTACTGTTGCGGACAAAGTCCGGATTAGTCCGAAATCGGTCCCACTTTTATTCAGGGTATTTACTTATGGTAAATAAAATATTTAATTCTGCAGTCAGTTTGTTTTTACAAATTCACTAGTAGGTATTATTAGTTATCTTGTTTCAATATTAAAATTAACACTGATTATGTGTTAGTTTCTTGTTATTTCTTTTCGTGGCACTTTATAAATTCTATTATGAATTTGAACTCCCATGCGATCGTGGTATAGTGGTTAGTGTATTCGATTTCGGTGCGTTATAATGTTAGATAGGTGTAAGTTCGAATCCCCAAGCGTTAGAAATTTTAAGTTAATGTAAATAAAATTGCGATAGGTAAATCAAAAAATATGTTGAATGTACCATAAAGTAATAATAATTAATAAGTGTAACTTGTATAATAATTTTTTTATTAACATTCACTAAATTGTCCGGACTAATTTTTGATTGCTTCCGACTAATTCCGGATTCACTAGTTAAAATTAATTGATATTAATTTCGGACTTCATCGGACCAACTCCGGATTCACTAGTTGTTCACAAACCGTATAGAGTTCGAATTTTTCCGGATTAATTTCGGGTGACAAAAACCTGACCATAAACCGCATTGTTTCGGACAAATTTCGGATTAGTCCGAAATCTGGCCGGTTTTTTAACCAGGGTGGTGTTACCATTTTTATTAATAAACTTAGTTATTTTATTAGTTGATTCAACTACTTTTTTATTGGTCTACCTATTTAATTAGTTACGTTACTATCTAAGTGGCTGCAGTTATTTTGAATTTTAAAAATTTGACTTTAGATTCGTAATCAGAAACCCAAAAACCCCCCGAATAACAATAGTTTTTAATAAAATCCACTGGCTGGGTTTCTTGGGGGCACGAAAGGATTAAATTTAAATTATTATGAAAAAATTAATTACATTCGGAAAGAAATTTTAAGCATAAAAGGAAATTTAATAAAAAAAAATCTTTAACGGTTTCTGAATATAAAAAGCATCTGTGGTTTACAAAAATTCATCAAAGATACACTAAATTATGAATTATTAATCTATATCAAAATTAGATATATGTTATAGTAAGATATAAAAATTTTGAAAAATATAATTTTATAATAATAATTTTTTTGTAACAAATTATATAAAATTATTTAAAATACATAAAATGTTTATCTGTAATAAATTTTGAAAATAAAAATAATTTTTTTGTCATATTTTTTTACGATAGAAAATTATATATCTCAACATGCTTTAATAATTTTTTGTGTCGCTGATTACGAATCCAATGTCCATTTTTAAAAATTCAAAATGGCGGATCCAATATGGCGGATCTTTTTCAAAAATTATTTTAATTCATCAGATTCGCTTAAAAATTTTTACTCGGGTGTTTTCGGGGTCGCTGATTTTAAATCTGGTATCAGTTTTTGAGAATTCAAAATGTCAGGTCCAATATGGCCGATAATTAAAAACAAAATTTTTTAATTTATCGGATTCGCTTAAAAATCGTTACTCAGGGGTTTTCGGGGTCGCTGATTACAAATTTGATGACAGTTTTTGAATATTCAAAATGGCGGATCCAATATGGCGAATAATTTTTTAAATATTTTTTAATTCACCGAATTCGCTTGAGAATCGTTACTCAGGGGTTTTCAGGGTCGCTGATTACGAATCTGGCATCAGATTTTCAAAATTCAAAATGGTGGATCCAATATGACGGTCGAAAAAATTTAAGAAGTTGTGTTAAGCTTCTGAAAATATATTGGATCCGCCATTTTGAATTTTGAAAATCTAATGCCAGATTCGTTATAATCAGCGACCTCGAAAATTCCCGAGTAGGTAATGATTTTCATAAACTTTTTGTCTAAATGCACATTATCTGCTTATTGAATAACTTGCTTGTTTAACTAACATTTAAAGTTATATATGTAACTTTGATAAACATTTTCTTTATTATTGCAAACCAATATTTATGAAAAGCTTAGAGCATTAGCTTCAATCAACCGTTTTTGGCACAATCAATTTACCCCGTGTTAACTCAGGACAAGCCGTAGGGAGGTTAAAGATGTGAATTAGCTCAATTGCAACACTACTAGACACGCAAGAACAGTAATGGCCATGGTTCGATTCTTCTCAACTACGGATTTTTTTAATTTAACTTTTAACTTTTATAATAGTGATAAGGTGCGAATAATGAAAATATCCTCAGGTTAGGTTCTGAACAGAAGAGTGTCAAGTTTTTTAAGTTTTACACTCCTCAGGGTAAATTAAATTATCCTTGTTTCTCCGCGCAGAAAAAGAGGGGGGAGAATTAATACTAAAACATAATGTTGCACAGTGGTATTATTTACAATTTACTGTTCAAAAATATCTAAACCCCAAAATTTTTAACGTATTTAAAAGTTTTTTTTCATTGGCAGAGGATAAAATTTTCGACAGATCCCTCGAGGGCAATTTTAAAACTTTTAATTGTTTTTGATTTTTTTTTAATCAGAGTTACCAAATCAGTATCATTTTTTTGGAGAACTCAAGTTTATTTTTTATTTTTGCTACAGCATTTGATCTGAATCAGCGTAAATTTTATAGTCTAGTATGACCTGTAAAACAATAACAGTTTGGATTTTACTTCGTGAATAGTATAAAAGTTGCTTTATTTGTCTTTTCGTGTACAATAAAAATTTCCCTAAAAAAATTAAATTTTATTTTGAAAACTATTTGTTTCATTAAATTTTCTATAAATGGAAATTTTCCTCTTTTAAAAATTGGTTGTTATATATATATTTACATGGACATATATAGATGTATATATGTATGCATATATAACAAAATCTGTATGTGAGAAAAATAAAGGACCGATTTTAAATTCTAAACGAGTATCGGAACTTCCAAGTTTTCAAAGACCCGTGGAATTTAGAACTCTGCTGAATTGTGGAAAAAACAAAGCTCATTTAAAACTCCACTTTCGTGCAGAGATGCTTTCCAAAAGAGTTTGATTTATATTTTTATATAGGACGGCTTTAAAGTGACACACTTCTTAAAGTTCGAAATATATATTAAGTATATATATTTTTTGTTTCGCAAACAGTGACATTAAAACTTTTTTCAAATATAAATTAGTTTATTGGCCTTCTGCTTCTTTTCATTCTAAAGAGGATCAAAAATATTCTTTTCCAGCTTCTTATTATCTTTATTAAATAGAAATAACCTTCTTTCTCTTTCATTTATTTTTAAAATTAGCAAAATATACAAAAATATTTATTTCTTGAATTCTTTACCTTCATTATATTTTTTCTCTTCATTTGAAAATAAAAAAACTAAAATATTCATTCCCGGGAAAAAAATATTTTCAAGAAAAGAATGAAAATTTAATACTTGTATAATAAACTTTATTATAAATTAAAAAAATTAAAACTATCATAATTTTAATATTATCGAAACATTATTTTTTAGTAAAAGTAATAATTATTTCTTACAGGAAGATGTGGATCAGTCACGTTCGAGGGTGGATTTTGTCAAGCAATATTCGGAGAAAAAATCTGAACCTACTCAACGCAGCTCAATGCGCAAGTAATTTAAAAAAAAAATTTGTTTATTTATACTATATAAAAGTTTAGAATTTTAATTAATTGTTTTCTTTTTATTCTTCTCTTCTTTTGTTTCCTATTAACAACGAGATTTTAAAAGTAATTTATATTGTTCAGGAAATATGATTCGCGTATTGTGCACAAAACAATCTTTTAAAGACGACCTTCCTCATTTTGTAGAATAAAAAAAGAAAAGAAAAAATATTTCTCTGCCTTTACGATTTACTGGATCATAAAAGCTTTCCCCTATTGCCGTGATTAGTCGTGATTGAAAACGAAAGAAAAAAAAATTCAAATCCGGAACTCATATTCTGTTTTACCCGAGAGTTGTCCTTATACTGGATCCTGTCACGAATGGTTTATTTTTAATACATATAATAAATATAAGCTACTTTTAAGGAAATGGGCCATTTTTTTAGAGTTCAAACAAAATTTAAAGAAATTATTATTCAGTAAAAAGATGTCTTAATATTTTCTATATTATTAATTATATTAAATAATTATTTATTATTATTATTATTAATATAATTATATTAATTTTTATTACTAAAAATCTTGTATTATTATTAAAAAATTATGAATTGACCCAGCTGGTCAATTAATTAACTCTTATTGCCCTAGGGTAATAATGAGTACTTTATTGACCTATGCAAGGCTCGAACCAGTGAAAGTATTTAAAAATACGGACCTTAAGGACCAAAAATTAAAAATTACGGTCCGAGTCAAATAAGAGAACATTTTACTTAAAACTATAAATTAAATTTTTTATAACTATAAAACATGAAGATATCAAAAACTTATGGTATTCGACTCGGAGTGATCAATTTATTGATGTTTTATAATAATTATAGATGACCGAGTGATAAAATCATTAGCAATTCAATTATTATTTTCGTGAATTTTTTAACTAAAATTCTTCTTTAAATTGATTATTTTTAATAGTTAATTAAATAATAGTTAATTTAATAGTTTTAATAGAAAAAGTTCTTTGACAATTTTCAAATTCATTTGTTTACAAAATTCAATTTTACGAAATTTCAATTATTCGTAAATTTTTCAATTATATAAGAAAATAAAAACTTAAAATAATATATTTAATATTTAATAATATTTATAATATTTATTTAATACCTAATATATTAATATTCAATTAAACTTTTTCAAAAAAATTAATTTCAAAATTTAATTATTTCTAAAAATTCACAGTATATTGCTTTTAATATTCAATTATTATCTAAAATTTGAACTGAAATTAATTTTTATTAGATAATTCTACTAAAATTCAATTATTTAAATACAAAAATAAATAATTTATTGAATAAATTTATTGAAGTTATTAAATAAATTTCAAATATATGAATTCCTTTGACGAATTTTAATAAAATTTTTAAGAATAATTACATTTTTCGAGAAATTTGATTAAAATTGTATTAAAAATAATTGAAACTCTGCGATAAGTTTTATTATTTGTGAAAATAATTAAATTCCTAAAAAGAATTTTATTATTTACGAAAATAATGGAATCCTTGCAAAAATTTTATTATTTATGAAAATAATTGAATTATTTTGAAGAAATTTGTAAATAATTGAATTCCTATAAAATTTTTATTTATTTATTATTTGAAAATAATTAAATGTTTGCGATATTAAAAATCATTGAATTGAGGAAAATTTTTGAAATTTTGCCAAGAATTGTATTAAAATTTTTGAAAATAATTGAATTTCGGAGAAGAATTTTAATTATTTCTAAAGATAATTGAAATTTTGACGAGAATTTTTCAAAAATTGTGAGCATAATTGAATTTTTGAAAGAATTTTATATTACTTTTGATAATAATTGAATTTCTGCAATCATTTGTAATTTATCTAAAATTCTCCACATTTATCGTACAATTTACAAACTTTTCATCGAATTACGGACTTTCCTGACCTTTTTTGAAAAAAACTGACTTTAAATTGTTTAAAAGCAAAAACGCATTTACCCAAAAATTTAGATACAAATTTATAAACTTTGAAATACTTTAAAAAAGTGAAAAAATAAAAATCTCTTTTTTCTTTTTTTTAGTAGAAAATAAATAAAACATAGTTGAGATAAAATGAAATTTCTAATAAATAAATCAATGTCATGTGGCGTATCTTAGATCTTCTATGAAGAAGTCTATTCGTAAGAAAGCTCCATCACCACCTGGGGAATCCCAAATCATTCGGGAGATCACAGAAGAAGAACCACGAGAGCCAGCAAAACCAGTACCAACGCGAAAATACTCATCTGATGAAAGTTCCGATGAAGAAGACGCTCGCGAATTAGAGGGAAATGTTTATACAAAAGCTGGTGTTGAAGTGAGTATACAATTTTTTTTTCTTTCTTATTATTAAAAAAAAAGAAAAAATTTCCATGAAAAATGATATTTTAATAAAAAAGCAGATGCTTTTTCTATCTGTATACCCATAAACGTACCTATAAATTATAAAAATTAATTTTTTCTTATTATTTTAATCATTTAATTCTTGAAATTTTCTGAGAAAATCTCTCTCCTAATCTCCCTTTGTAAAAAACCATTTTTTGCCAGAAGATAATAAATCCGCTTGATGTACGTTCTTTATTTTTCACGAACAAAAGAATGTACTTTTGATTTAAAAGAATTAAATCCTTCGGGACATTCCTTTTTTTTTAATTGCTCAAATACCATTGTTATACCTACAATAATTAAAAAGAAGTGAACTTCACAAAAAATAATTTTAAAACTGCAAAACTTGACAATACTTATTAAATAGTAAAACGAATGACCTTAGTCTGGAGACTACACAGTTTTTTATTGGGACATTACTTCCCAGACGTTAAACAATTTACTCTAGCTCATAAAACAAATACATTCAGACAAGTGGATTTTAATAAAAAATTGCTTCAACGTTTCAAAATCTAAATAATTTACTCATTAAGAGAATCTATCAAAAATAAAACAACGAACAATCAGAATTAAAAAGCAAAGCATTCTAAGGTTATATTTGTGTTATTTTTACCTTAATTAATAGTTGCTCTTTATTTGTGAAAAACTAAAATCTGTTTTTATTAATTATTTTAGAAGTAATGACGACTTAAGCAACAGTGGTAAATTTCTATTTCAAAAATTACAAACATAACCTCAAATTTGTTTGCTTCTTAGGTAATAATATTTTAGAAAAAAATAAAACGTTTTAAATCACAAATTACTTTTTTTCGTGGGTTTTATTATTAACCGTTACTAAAATAATGACAATAATAAAACAAATAATTTTAATAATAATAATAATAATGAACCTAATCGAGGAAGTCGATAAGGACCCATGGGGTCTGGCTTTTAAAATCGTGACTAAGAAATTAGTGACGAGACAAAAGACCCCCGGCCTGGACAATTCTGGTTGGGTCAGAAAGGTAATAAGTTCTTTGTTTCCTCCTGCAGAGCCATACCTTAGAAGGGACTGGAGTTTTTGCAAAGTCGAAGAGGAAGAACTCTTCACACTTAGTAAACTACAAAAAGCAGGCAAAAGATTGAAAACAGGTAAGGCGCCTAGAATCGATGGGATAAGTAACGAGATCCTAAAGTTTGTTATCGATACTTCACCCCAGATTCTGCTTCGATGCTTCAATCTTTGCCTTGAGAGAGGAGAGTTCTTCCGCGACTGGAAGCGACAGAGGTTAGTCCTCCTGAGGAAAGGTGAAAAACCTCTAGATAAAGTCTCATTATACAGGCCTATATGCCTGCTAGATACGATGGGTAAACTTCTAGAGGATATGGTTCTGCAGAGAATGCAAAGCCACTTGACCGAAGAGAATCGTCTATCCGATCATCAATTTGGTTTTCGTAAAGGCAAGTCCACAGTTGAAGCCATCCAGGCAGTTGTGGATATAGCCAAAGCAGGAAAAAACAAATTGGGACCTGGAAAAAGGAAGAGCTTCTGCGCGTTGGTAGCAATTGACATACGCAACGCGTTTAATTCCGCAAGATGGAAAGATCTCATCGAGTCGATGAAAAAGAAAAACATGCCGCCCTACTTGTTGCGGATAATAGATAATTATTTTAGCGACAGGTGGGTTATATATGAGGAAGACACCTGCACTCTTTGGGAAGAGATGCAGCGTGGGGCTCCTCAAGGCTCGAGGGTGGGTCCATTTGTATGGAATGTATCTTACGATGATTTTCTGCGAATGGATCTGCCCGAAGGTGCGGTGATCATCGGCTTTACGGACGACGCGTTGTTCGTGTGCACTGCCGAAAGTGAAGAGGCTCTTGGGACATTGGTGAACGAATGTCTGCGACTAGCAAAAAGCTGGCTGGATACTAGAGGTCTTGAAATGGCCCTGGAAAAGACCAAGGCACTGCTGGTCACAGACAGACGTGGTTATGAGCTCCCACGAATCGTGATAGACGGATTCGAGGTCAAGTGGAGTAAACAAATTAAATATCTTGGTGTGGAGTTGGATGGAAGGTTAAACTTCCACCACCACATGGCTACGGCGTCAAATAAGGTGATCGAGTGTGCGGCTAATCTTTCACGGCTAATGCCAAATGTTGGCGGACCCCGTGAACAATAAAGAAGACTGGTGGCGAGTGTCGCCCACGCTAAAATGCTTTATGCAGCACCAGCGTGAACCCCATCCCTGAGGAGTAAAATATGTGTGACCATCTGTGAAAAGATACTGTTGGCGCAGAGATCGATAACAACGCGTATCATCTCTGCATATAAGACGGTATCTACGAGTGCTGTGCAGGTCCTTGCAAGTGTCCCGCCAGCAGATCTTTTGGCGAGGGAAAGGGAAGAAATGTTTCTCTTTTCTAAAGAAAGATGTTCCTTGGATGAGGAAATAAGACCAAGCAAGGGCCTGATCCGCAAAGAAGCGAGGCACAGGCTCATAGAAAGATGGCAGGAAAGATGGGATGGTGAGGAAAAAGGTCGATGGACTTATCGCCTTATCCCGGCACTCGCCACCTGGATAAATAGGAAACACGGTCAGGTTTCCTATTATCTGACTCAGGCGCTCACAGGTCACGGGTGTTTTAACTCGTACCTGTGTCGCTTTAAATTACGCGAGGACGGAGGTGTGTGCATATTGACAGTTCCCTGAGGACAACGCGGAGCACACCCTCTTCTCATGCAAGAAATGGGACTTGGAGAGGCAAGCCATGTTCGACGGTGTTAACTGTCAGGTTACACCGGAGAACATGGTAGAGCTGATGACCCAGTCGGAAGAAAATTGGCGGCAAGTCGAGAACTTCGTAATCTCGGTTATGTCGAGGAAGGATCCCGACAGCCGCCAAAAAGCGTAATTTAAACAGCTTTTAATTTGTTTGTTTGTTTTTTTTATTAATTTATTTTGTGATTTATTTGTCCTTATACATTTTTTGGTTTGTTTTCTGTTTTTTATTCGCCTTTTTATAGTTTTGTCTTTTCAACGTTATATAAGTGTTTACTTTTTTTCCTTTTCTTTTTTATATCCGTTTGCAATTTTATCTTTTGACATTTTGCACTTCTTAAAAATTTGTTTTTTTTATTATTGTTGTGCTGTAAATTCCGCTTAGACTTTGAAATAGTTTTAATCATTTTTTTTAACTACGGACGCATGAAAACCGCAGAGAAAGGAAGAAGGTCGCATTAGCGACAGAGTTGGAGCGCCACCCTCGAAGGCTAAAGTGTCACGACAGTTCCGAGGCAGGGTAAAGGGCTCCAGAAGAAGGGTTACGGGTTTTAGTGGGTCGGGCTGGTAGTAGGTCGCCAGTTTATTAAATTTATTAGAACATTTATTTATTTATCTTTTTTTTTAATATTTCCTTTTGTTTCATTTTACCAACACCACATAACCTTGGAGTGCGGAATCCAAGGTATCTGTAGGTAGATTTCCCAAAATTCCCTAAGCAAAAAAAAAAAAATAATAATAATAATATGTTTATTATTATGATGATTATTATTATTTAATTAATACTTATTGCAATAATGATTCTTATTAAACTTTCATAAAAATAATAATTATTATAATAGTTTTTTTTTCTATTAATGTTATCACGATAAGTATCCAATTATTATATAGTGTCACGAGGAATAGAGAATTTTTCCTGACAGTGAAAAATGTTGAATGCACTTTATGCATAATATATTTTGAGTCTTGAGTCTCGGGTCATTATCTCAACTCTTTCCTTTGTGTATTAAAAGTTTGCATTTTATGAAGTCCTGATATCTACTTTTCATTGTTCGTTACCGAATATTCTAAAGGTTTTTTTAATCATTTTTTTTGCCACAATAGACACATAAAGAAAAGTTCTAAACCAAATAAAAAAAAAGTTAAAAAATATTTTATATTCCTTTTATTTTTAATCATAAATTATCGAAATAGTTTTCATTTTAAATTCAATAAACAATATTATGAAAATTTCAAGCCTAATTTTAACATTTTACTTTACAGATTTCAAGGAAAAGTGCTGGCAATGTAAAAAGAACGAAAGCTGAAATTGAAGCTGATACTGAAGAAGAGGATGATTTTGGTTACACAAATAGTAAGAAATTGTATTTCTTTTTACTAATGTGTTGGAAGTTTATTAGGTATTATTTATTTTTAAAAAATTATTACTATTATTGATTTTGTGACTTTACGATAATGATTTAGTTTTTTTAAAGGTATTTTAAGTGGGATCTTTGAAATTTAATTTACTATTGCTAAAACTTGTTAAGGCAATCACTTGTTTCAAAACTGAAACCTTTGTAATATCCCTATTTTTCTCGTTTTTAATTAGTCAAAATGGCGGATCCAATATGGCCGTATTAAAATTTTTTTTTTAATTCATCGGATTTGCTTGAAAAACGTTACTTAGGGGTTTTCGGGGTCGCTGATTGCGAATCCGATGTCAGTTTTTGAATATTTAAAATACCGGATCCAATATGGTGGATAATTTTTAAAAAAATTTTAATTTACCGGATTTGCTTGAAAATCATTACTCGGGGGTTTTCAGGGTCGCTGATTACGAATCTGGCATCAGATTTTTAAAATTCAAAATGGAGGATCCAATACGTTTTTCAAGCGAATCCGGTGAATTAAAAATTTTTCAAAAATTATCCGCCATATTAGATCCGCCATTTTGAATATTCAAAAACTGACATCGGATTCGCAATCAGCGACCCTGAAAACCCCTAAGTAACGATTTTTAAGCAAATCTGATGAATTAAAATTTTTTTTAAATCGGCCATATTGAATCCGCCATTTTGAATTTTTAAAAACTGATACTAGATTTAAAATCAGCGACCCTGAAAACACCCGAGTAACAATTTTCAATTAAATCCAATCAATTAAAAAAAGTTTTTGCAAAAGGTCCACCATATTTGATCCGACATTTTGAATTTTTAAAAATGGACATCGGATTCGTAATCAGCGACACAAAAAACTATTAAAGCTTGTTGAAATATAAAATTTTCTATGCAGGGTAAATTGAACCATTTCAGTACCGATTTCTGCAATTTAATTAAACCGTAGGAGGGTTAAAAACCAAGAAAGAAAAAAGAAAGGCTTGACAATAATACAATGAGTAATGTTGGATATTAAATCTTTAATTAAGAGGAAAACGATTAGAACTGGTCTTGGAACTGGTAGTCGTTATTTCGATCTCCAATCTTGAGTGCAGTGGTGAGCTTAATATAGGGAACCAACGCAACGGTAGGTCTTCTCAATGGTTGATTGTTAGACCGGTTGTTTGTACTAATGAGATATGCTGTATTGACTTCTTGAGGACTTCCGTGTCACTCAGACTATTGTCGCTTCCAAACAGATTTCGATACTTCTTAAAATACATAAAGTGTTTGAAAATCTTGAGACTTTTACTATATAAGATGTTGCAGTTTGTAATGCAAACTAATGTGCTATGATCGATTTCTAAAATTATACTCTTTGTGACTTTGCTTTAGATGACAATGTACTAGGGTCGGTTTTCAAATAAATATTGTCTGCCTAAACGAAACTGTTTGCCCTTTTTATATTAATTACCCCGTTATTTCGATGATTCACGATTTATGTAATTTCTTGTGGTGAAATTGTTTTTCAAATACACGAGCTTTAGGCTTAAAGGTAAGCTTGTGGGATCCGAAAACAGACACCTTTTACTTGTGTTCATAGAATCCTAACCAAAGCCTGCTGGACTTTGCTATTCTTAAAGTCAATTTTGATCGCGTATCCGTAACCCTTTGACTTGTAAAGTGCATTTTACTAACCTCGCCAACAATTTTAATTATCCAATTAGTAAACTTCTCTTTGTCTGAAAAGCCTTCGATTTCAATCCTAATTAAAAAAAGATTCAGCAGAGCCGTTTCATATTGAGAGTCTGCAAACACTTAATACATTTTGTCCCTAAACCGCATTGGAAGATGCGATTGGTTAATTTAATTAAAAATAATATTTTATTATAAGCATCCAAATTGGTTGTTAGTTCGCTTTCCTTTTATGCACTGACAACTCGAACACATCAAATAACAACAGCAACAAACAATCAGAGGCAACTTCTCGAGTGGGAAGATTCCCGCCAAGACTCACGTTGATGCAACGACACTGAGGAAGAGAGAGAACAGAGAAACGACTTACACTCCCCAACAACACTGAATAACTACACCCGAATTGCAACAATTTCCACTTTATTTAAACTCTATACACAAATTAAAAAAGGTTATTAACCCGGAATTATTACACGCTCGTGCCGCGACCGCCGGTAAGCTTCTGCTTGCAAGGCCGCTGGTAATCCTTCCTTGTCACACTCTAACGACGGAAAATCACCTGTAAATAAATTCGTCTCTGGCCGCTAACAATCGTGGAAATTCGTCACTACGCCTCATACTCATCACACACAGTGAGTCTCAACCAGAATCAAATCAACTTTGGAAATTTAAGAAAGAGATACTAACCACAAGAACGTGGGTCCGGCTACAAATATTTAACAAAAAATTAGAATTTTAGTAGAGGTGTGCATTTAATCGAGTCGAACCGAACATTAATCGACTCGACAACAGAAAATTCGAATCGGAGATAATTCGATTCGAATTAGTCAATTCGAAAATCGGCGTTTCGAATTTGGAATTGCACAACTCGACTCGGTCTACTTTCGATTCGAATCGGACAATTCGAAGTTTCGACTTTCGAATTGCACAACTCGATTCAGTTTTCGAATCAAGTCAACCAATTCGAAAATCGAAGTTATACTTCTTCCGAGTCTTGACTTGCTTCTTCTGACCAAATTATTCCTTAGTATAGACATTCGTTCATCTTATTCGCATCTACATGATTTGACCTTACTGCTTCTACGACGGTTTTAAGGCCGTCCATTATTTCCTTCTTGATTGATATGTTGACATTCTTTTGCATCTCTCAGAACTTTGCTGACCATCTCTACTGAAATCTTACCATTCAGATGAGATGCTGAAAACAAACCTACAACAATCTTGATTCGTAATATACAGCTTACACTTCCTCTTCTCCTTGCTTTATCCACGATGATCTATGGAACCTACAAGGCATTGTTGTCTTCCTGCATCCGTGGACTACTGTGACACCTCTCGCACTTGCCGCTTCACGATTGGAACAAGCAGCCTAGGTAGTTGTACGCGAAGTTTCTTCTCATTTGTACATGTATACCTACACGACTCACCTACCAGCATATCAGAGACTCTTGTGACTAGAAACGACAAAGTATAGTGACAATGTATTCCACTTCCGAATGATTCTCTCAAAATGGTATTATTTGACTATGCAGCCACAAAGAGCTGAAGTTAGATGCTCTAAGCATAAGTGTATCTTTTTCTAACATCACGGCGTTGCTCACTTCATCGGAACATTATAAATATGTGTCTCAGACGTTTGCTGTACTTAACAAGTTCTCTTGTGGTGGAACCGGATGCAGAATAGGTCACACGTAATGTTACCGCGTGTCGTAAGAAGCGACTAAAGGGGCTTGGAAGGCCGCTGATACTTACGGCTTTCTCGTAGAGTAGTAGCGTAACAATGATAATGGGCAGTGCCGTGTTGGTCCGGGAAGTATAATATTGATCAGATTCCCTAGGCGGGTAAACGTGTTTTCATCCGACGGGCCTAACGAACCCGGGATACCTGAGTTTGAACGTCTGATTTTGGTGTCGTTGATTCAAATAGGGTTCACCAACTGCGGCGTTGTGTTTAACCGGCAAAGAGAATAGTTAATCCATTATCCACAGCATATCGTAAGAGGCGACTAAGTGGTAATTTATTTTTCTTTTTCGTACGGGTATGGTGATACTTTGATCTGGAAGCAGAACCTCCCACTTCTGACGAGGTATTTTTTTATTTACTGGGGAGAAGAGGAAAATGCTTTTAACGCATGGCCAGGAAACTCCTATTTCGCTGGGGTATGTCGGGCTCAGCACAAAATGCAAGGAAAAAAAGAAGAAATTTTGCATACCTGCTTTAGTCAGTCACCAATACCGACTAAAAACCTCTTCTTGATTCCCCTGAGTTTCGAACCTTATATCCACCTACGGAACTACATTTCGGCTTCAGTCTTCGCAGATGAATGATCTCATTTAGTCGCTGATGCGATTCTTCCGTGCCGCTCTTGTTCTGGCCTTATTTTCTCCTTGTCCTTGAAAAAGCCTTCTTTGCTTCCTCTAGGGCAGTTCTGAAGACTCTGCATCTTCCTGATCCAGCGACATGCTGGACATTCTTCTTTTCGACGAACTTCGCCTGGAATAAGAAGCAGCATGGGCTCTTCTTGCAATCTGCTACCTTATGATCACAATAGCGAGTTTTACTTCACGCTTATTTGGTCTAAGGACCGTCACCTTCCTGCTTCCTGCAGGTACCGTAGAATAGTAGTATCTTTCGTCTGAACTCGCTTGAGAGAATAATTCTCTTGCCAGAGTCGATTAAAGGAATTCAATTCTATCTAAAGTGTTTTTTCTATCCCGACGCGAGGTACCTAGCAAGTGTTTCTCAAGAAATAGATACAGCATGCTATAGTCCTAACGGACTTAGGTACTCGCAAAGGCTCAAAGACTATTTTAGTATGATTCAAAGTTGTACTTAGCAAGTTGCATTACCTTGCATGTCCCCTATAGTCGCTGTTTATGATACGCGATAGACTATGGAAGGGTAATTCTGAATCGCGGACCACCGCAAAAGGACGGTCGGAATCAGTGAGGGATTTAGCCGAAGTATTAACCCACAGGTACTCCCAGTTTTTGTAATCGGTCGGACTTGTTTTTTTATTTTGTTCCACACCGGATATTTGATTTCACCGCTACTATCCGTAAATAGGAGGAGTCCCCATCCATCACCTGTCCATGCACCGTAAGGAGGTTCAGCAACCCCCATAGAAGCTGGTATCAATGAAAAATGATTGATCTAACTGGACTAAAACTTCCGTTATATTTGGAAGTAGCCATCTCAGGTTGACGAAAATCTCTGTGATATTAGGAAATGTATAACTGAATTCCTGGTATTATTATTATTTTATTTAGAATCGAATGTTGTGTATATAATAATTTCTATATTAATCTATATTTAAAAGCCCTGGGAACTTGATCTCATTAAATAAATAAATAAGTAAAAAAATTCTTATTTAGTAACAATGTATAACACAAACATTTTTCATGAATGTTCAGTGTCTTTACCACTAAGCTATTAATGAGTTTTTACACCACTCTCAATTTTATGGCAGGGAATTGATTTTTTCTAAATATTATTGCACCTTTTTTTAACTGAAAATTTTAATTATGCAGATAAGCGGTTTCTATCTGAAAATCGACAGATTCCTTTTTCGTTTTTTTTGCTGATTCCTCTTATTTTACAAGTAACTTTTTATTAAAAGGGACCGAACGTGAAAGGATCTACTTTGTTTGTATTATTAAAAACTACTAATATTAAGAGGGAGTCACATTGAAAAATTTACAAGCCGCTTGACTGCATAATTGCACCGAAAATATTAAAAAGTTCTTTAAATTTTAATTTAATTTCTTTTTCTTTAAGTTTAAATTTTGAAAAATTTAAGAATTCATTATTTTTATTGAAAATCGATATATTTCCTTGCAGGCAAAGTTCAGAAAAAATATCACAACCTGGGACCAACGGTCATAATGGTAAAATTAGAGAAGAACAGACGCGGATTAGGAATTTCAATAGCCGGCCATAAGGACAGAAATAAAATGGCAGTTTTCATTTGTGGTTTAAATCCAAAAGGAGCTGCTTTTCAAAACGGTGGACTTAAAGTTGGAGATGAAATATTGGAGGTAAATAGAAAATTTTTAATTTTAAAACTTTTTAACATTTTTATTTTAATATAAAATGATCATTACTGTAGTTATTAATCATATTAATTATATTTTTTAATTCTGCTTGTATAAAATTTTACCAAATATCGTTTGATGTCAGAATTAAAACCTGTCTACTATCTACATAGAATTTGGCTTATTTTTATGTTTTCTAATTTATTGAAGGAAAAATCTGAGAGACAAATAAAACAAAAGTTAACAAAATGCCATAATTTTCTATTTAAAAAAACAAAACTTAATTTTAATATCGTTTATATTTAATTTTTAATTTGAAAAGAAAAGATTAAATGTTTTGAATGTTTGACGGATTTTTCCGTAATTTGAAAATTTCAAAACAATATAATAAATAAAATATAATAATAGGTAAACGGTGTAGTGCTGGTATCAAGATGCCATCTAAATGCATCGGCCCTGATAAAAGGAATTCCTGGTCCAGTTTTCAAAATCATTGTCTTCAGGTAAGAAATATATAATTAATCTCCTCGTCTGTTTATTAATTAATTTTAAGAAGTATAGTATTTTTTTTCCTTTTAAAAAAAGGATTCATAGTATTTTCTTAAAAAATTAAATTTGAAAAAAGCTTTTTAAAATGTAGAACGTTTGAAATTTTTTTCTAAATGTGATTTTTATACATAATAAAAACATGCACTGGTAGACAAAATTTTGCTGCAATAGTTAACGATGGTGATTCTTATAAGATTTCTGCCGTAGATTACGAATCTGTAAGTGAAATTTTTCATTCACGTCTTAATTTTGTAACAGCATGTGATTATGAGAAGCTTAATGTTATTTACGACCACTTTCTTCCTTATATTGAACAGATTGCTTCCAAGGTCACTGATTACGAATCTGATGCTAGCTTTTTAATTTTCAAAATGGTGGATCCAATATGGCGGACGTTTTTTTTAAATCTAGTGCAGTTAGTTTGAAACTTGCTTTTAGAGATTTGTTGGGTAGTTAATTACAAATCTGATGTTAGTTTTGCAAAAAAGGCAGTTTATCACATTGTAGCAAACAAATTAAATTTTGTCAACCAATGTAATTCATAAAAATGTTGATAATACTATAGTATTTTTAAAGTATAGCACGAATAGACAAAAGCTGGTTTGCTCATTTACATTTAATAAATATCATGTTAAAGAAAACAAGAATAGTTTGTCAGGATTTGTTATATTGTTCCTAAAATATATATAAATAAAAAATACATAAATTGAAGTTTGAAACGATTAATTTTGAAACTTATTAAGATTAAAATTTGTATTACTTAAATGTTTCATAAATTAAAATTTAGATCAAATTTTGAACCTATAATTAAAAATAAGATGAATTGAAATTCCAAAGATTAAAAAATTGAACGAATTAAATTCAGTGCAAACTAAGATTTTAATAAATGAAACTTTCAAGAAATTAAAATTAAGATTTAATACAAATTACTTTAAAAAATTTAGAAACTAAACTTTTGATTAAACATATTTAAAAAATTATAAAATTTATTTATCTAACATAGGTAAAAATTAACAAAAAAAATTTAAGTAGACCAAATTTAAAAAAGGTGACAGTATCTGATTATTGTTTCAATATAATTAACAGGTTAACTGTAGTGCAAATAGAAAAAAGAAAACAAAAACGTTTTTAGTGGCATAAAACTAAAAGAAGTTTCCAAATTATAGCAAATCGTAAAAAAGCAATAAATAGTAGCTTTTAGTAGATAAGTGCAAAGTCTGCAATTTTTGTGCATAAAACTAGTATTTGAAATATGAATTAAATTTTATTAACGAAAAAATTTTTGAAAAATAAGTTTCAATAAATACATGAGAAAATATCTCGAAAATTTAGTAATTGTACGCTGTAAGAGAAATAAATAGAATAAATAAAATGTTTATTCTAAGCAAACGTTTGTGTGCTTTTATTCAGTGTTTTATTTGAAAATAAAAAGGAATTGAATGGCTTTTAGTTGATCTAGCTATTCTATATGTAAAGTAAGAAGCCGCGAGGCAACGAGTGTAACGAATGCGACTATCGTTTTGTGCGCTTGTAATAAAAGTGAACTGGTGTACATTACAGCTTGAGTTTGTTCGCAATCAGGACATTGTATTATACTTTTCATTCTCTCATAACTCAACAAAAATATTATTCAAATAAAAAGAAACTAATTAGAAATTTCATATTAAAAAATATAAAAAGAGCAGTTCATTTAATCAATCTCTTATTTAAAAAAAAGAAAAAGAAATTTTAATAATATTTTAATTTTGCCACCACCTTTTAGAATATTAAAAAAAAAGTTTTGTATGTATAATAAAATATTTTTCTAATTTAGGAAAGCTGGACGAGACGATCTTTCAGTAAGACCGATCACTCATTTCCCACCTTCTTTAGACGATGAGGTAAGTTTTTTTAATTCTTCTATTTTTAAAAAGAAAACTATTTTTTTTTTCTAGAAATCAAATAATTTTTTAAACAATTTTTATCTTGGAATGCAAATAATTCCTTATTTTTATTATAACAAATAATTTCTTATTCAAAATATATATTTTGTAGGTAAAGAAACAAAATTTATTCCATATTTACAAGGAGAAAATAAAACAAAAATTAATAATTGAAAATCTTGGAACAATAATTTTAATACTTTCTCGTTTGATAAGAAAAAATAATTTAAATACACGATCCAAAGATTTATTATGGAAAATTTTACGATTATTTAATTATTTTTACAGGCAGCTTTCAGTCAATATAAAGGTGTGCGGATCGTATCAATTAAAAAAGTAAGTAACATTTTTCCTTTAAAATTGATTACAATAAAAGAACATTAATAAAAAAGTTAAATGATTCTATCTGAATAAAAATTTACATAAATAATAATTACAATTATAATAATTATAATGATATTAAATAATAGTAAATAAATAAAAATAAAAATTAATTAGTTAATGAAGTTAGTAGTACAATGTTTCGAAATTGATAAATGTTAATGTGTGAATAACCATTTATTTAAATATTTAATCTGAATATTTACTTAGGGCCACTACGGTCTAGGCATCATGATTATCGAAGGCAAACACGCAGAAGTGGGACAAGGAATTTTCGTCTCAGATATTCAAGAAGGAAGCGCAGCGGAGATAGTAAGGAACCTCATTTTGACGTTAATCTTAATTAACTTTATATCTCCAAGGGAATTAATTTCAGAACAACAAAGTTCGTGAATTTTTTACTGAATCATGCACAATTTCTTTATAAGTTAATTCACTCTTTAAGTGCGCTTTAATTCGTTTAAATTAAAATAACAAAATTTTAACAAAAAAAAAATATATACATATATTATAACAAAATAAAAATATTTTATATTTCCTTACTAATAGTTTGTTTTAATGATAATGTTAATTATCATCATTATTTCAGCTATAAATAATTGTCTTACTATCACTCAGTCGTTTCAAATAATTAAACAATGACATAAACAATTACACCAAGTCAAGGTAAAAATAAAAGGAACGATTCATTTACGTTTGAAGAACAAATTTTTTTTTCTTATTTTGAAGAAGACAGCTGTGCTATTGAAACTTAAAACGCTCGTTTTATTTTTACCTTGACTCGGAGTGATCGTTTACTTCAACGTTTTATTATCATTTCTTTTGCATTTTCAGCACTGTTTTCTAATTAATGTTAATTAATTATTAATCGGATTAATAACAATAATAATTTAATGTAATAATATCTACAAAAAATTTTACATTACTGTAATTTAAAAATTAAAAACAAATCTTTGTATAATTATAATATAATAATAATCTAATTTAAATAATAGATTTATAGAAATAAATAAAAGTGTTTAATATAAAGTGAGATTTAATATTTCTTAATTGAAAGTATATTAATTAATCATTATATGTTAAATATTGTTAATTGCAGAAGTGTCAGTGATTTAATAATTAAATTTTTCAGGCGGGTTTACAAGTGGGAGACATGATATTAGCTGTGAATATGGATTGTTTACTTGGATCCACCTACGATGAGGTAAAGTCGAACATTACTGAACTATTAAAAATTTAAGCCGTTTTAATTTAAGTAAATTTGAAAGAATTAATTATTTTTATAACTAATGAACTAATTATAATGTAAAATTAAATTTATATTAGTGAGATCTCATTTTGTTATTATAGATATTATAGATCTTATTTTATTTTTTTTTTAAAACAAAATAAGATCTCACTAAAATTACAAATCCAAACAAAATAACATCGTAATATAAATTTATATTAATTTAGAATTTAAAGTATATAAAAAAAATCTTTAACAAATTTCGGAGTTATTATTTACAAATATGACATCAGTTTTTCTAAATCCAAAATGGGGAATCTAGTATGGCGATCAATCTTTTTAAAATTTCTCCAAATTAGCTTAAAAATTTTTAGAACAAAATTTAAATTTCATGTCAGATTCAGGGCTCGAACCAGTGAAAGTATTTTAAAATACGGACTTTACGGATCAAAAATGAAAAATTACGGACCATTTATGGACCAATTACTGACAAAAATAATATCAGGCCGAGTCAAATAAGAGAACATTTTACTTAAAACTATAAATTAAATTTTTTCATAACTATAAAACATGAAGGTAAAATCATTATTTAATCTTATAACAATATTGTTAATGTAACTTTTTCAAAATTATTTTTTTCATTTAAATTCATTTATTATTTTTTACAATTTTTAACTCAAATTCTTCTATAAATCAATTATTTTTAATAATTTTCGAAAAAGTTCATTGTGAGAAATTTCAAATCCATTTGTTAACAATTAAATTTTATGTGAAATTATGATTATTTAAAAAAAAATTTGAAAATAATTGAATTTCTGGGAAGAATTTGTTATTAATCAAGATAATTAAATGCTTTCGAAGAATTGCGTTAAAACTTTTGAAATAATTATATATAATTCAAAAAAATTCGACTAATTTTAACGGAATTGAAATTAAAATTTTTCAAAAAAAATAATTCTGCAGATTTAATACAAAAATGAATGAATTATTGAATAATTGAGTTAACCAATAATTTGTTTATCAACAAATTTCTAAATAATTGAATTCTTTCGCCGAATTTTATTAACATTTTTGAGAATAATTACATTTTTCGAGGAATTCAATTAAGATTGTATTGAAAATAATTGAAATTATGGAATGAGTTTTATAATTTATAAAATAATTGAATCCCTGTAAAATATTTTATTATTTATGAAAATAATTGAATGTTTGCGTAGAATGTTACCAAAAATTGATACGAAAAATTTCATTAAGATTTATAAAAATAATTAAATTCTTGCATGAAATTTTATTAAAATTTTCAAAAATAATTCAATTCTTATGAAGAACTTAATTAATTTTTTTTTAAATAATTGAATTCTAGCGAAGAATTTTATAAAAATCATTTTAATAATTGATTTTTTTTGAAAAATTTGATGAGAATTGTGTTTGAAAATAATTGAATTCCTGAGAAGAATTTCATTATTTATGAAAAATAATTAAATTTTTACGATGAATTTTACTACATATAAAATTTCTCTACATAATTGAATTTTTTCAAGAATTTTATTAAAATTTTTGAAAATAATTGAATTTTTGCAATCATTTGTAACTTCTCAAAAACTCTCCAAATTATATAGTTAAATTTACGAACTTTTCTTGCTTTTTCAATCAAATTACGGACTTTTACGGACTTCAAGCAAATTTACAAACCTTTACAGGATTTACGGACCTAGTTCGAGCCCTGCAGATTCGCAATTAACCACCCCAAAAATCACCGAATCTTATAAATTAAAAGAAATACTAATTGCAATAAATTAAATTTATTTCAGTTAGGAAAAGTCAAGTAGTTTCAAAACTGTGCTTACAAATCTTATAATTTTACTAAAATGAAAATAATAATAATTTTAGGTAAATTTGACATAAGGGTTAGATTTTCTCAAGTGGACTTTAAATTTTCAAAAGTTGAAATTTATCAGTGTAAATGTGCAAAAAGATAGTTCTATTAGAGTTACGAATAACCTGTAAATTTTATTAAAAAATATTAAATTGTTTATTTTTTATAAACAATTGAAATTTTATGCATAACATTTCTAAAAAATGCATAACTTTGACAAAAATTGACGAAACTTGATGATTCTTTTTGCAAATTAATTATGAAATTCCAAACTTTATAAAAATAATGTTTACTCCATCGAAGCTCTTAATTTGTTATAAAAAATAATTATTTATTATAAACAAATTAAAAATAAAACGTGTTCTGGATAACCATATTTAATTTTATAAATAAGAACTTTAAGAGAATTTATTAAGGATTGCATATCAAAAAGAAAAAATTGTTTCAAGCAAATATTTGATTAATTATGAATTTTTTTGTAAGCGCGCGCAAGCTCCGTGATGTGGGCTCCCGCGTCTGACGAATGTCGTGTGCCCCGCTTTGCACGCTTTAACTTGTTTATTTTGGAAGGTTTTCTTTCATAATTTTTTTCAAATTTGGTTTGTATGTTTTGAACTAAAATTCAATTGGAATACTTGTTTATAATAAAATTAGTAATATACTATTTTATTTATATTTATTTATGTAATCTATTTTAAGTTTATTGTTTAATTGTTTTTAGTTGAATATTTCTTGCTTCCAGAAAAACAAGTTTTAACTAATTTTTTTGTATTATATAATTTAAAAATATTTTTAATTTACTTGTAAACTTCCGTACCTATTAAAATTAAAAAGTAGTAATACAATATATTTTACTACTAAACAGATTAAAATTTTTATGAGTGTTTTAATGCTCAAACTGAAAGGATTTTTATAAAATTTATTTTATAAAAAAATTATATTGTAATTTATATAGTATAAACTAAATTTTTTAAAAATCCTTTCAGTTTGAGGATTTTGTAAAATTTAATTTATAAAAAGATAATATTGTAATATAAATTTTTTAAAAGTTCGTTCAGTTTGAGTAAAATTTTTTTTTACTTTCACGTAATTTTGAACAAAATTTTACCACATTATGCTTACCGAGGAAATTGCCTTAAAACCCTCATAAAAAATTGTAGTCTGTTTAGTAGTAAAATATATTGTATTACTACTTTTTATTTTTAATAGGTACGAAAGTTTACAAGTAAATATATAAAATTATAGAATTAAAAAAAATCAGTTAAAACATGTTTTTTTCGAAGCGAGAAATATTCAACTGAAAACAATTAAATAACAAAAAAACAGTTTTGTTTTAAGCGGATTCCTTTTTTTAATGCATATTTTCCTCTTGAATATGGCTCAAAAACAATCCTCTTATCTTAAGAGCAAAATACTCTTCCATTAAGTGTAATATTCTTGATTCAAAAGGAATTTTCCTCTCAAAAGAAGAATATTTTTTTTCAATGAATAAACTTAAAATAGAAAGTATAAATAAATAATATAAATAAATAATATAAATAAAATAATGTATTACTATTTTTATTATAAACAAGTATTCCAATTGAATTTTAGTTCAAAACATACAAACCAAATTTGAAAAAAATTATGAAAGAAAACCTTCCAAAATAAACAAGTTAAAGCGTGCAAAGCGGGGCACACGACATTCGTCAGACGCGGGAGCCCACATCACGGAGCTTGCGCGCGCTTACAAAAAAATTCATAATTAATCAAATATTTGCTTGAAACAATTTTTTCTTTTTGATATGCAATCCTTAATAAATTCTCTTAAAGTTCTTATTTATAAAATTAAATATGGTTATCCAGAACACGTTTTATTTTTAATTTGTTTATAATAAATAATTATTTTTTATAACAAATTAAGAGCTTCGATGGAGTAAACATTATTTTTATAAAGTTTGGAATTTCATAATTAATTTGCAAAAAGAATCATCAAGTTTCGTCAATTTTTGTCAAAGTTATGCATTTTTTAGAAATGTTATGCATAAAATTTCAATTGTTTATAAAAAATAAACAATTTAATATTTTTTAATAAAATTTACAGGTTATTCGTAACTCTAATAGAACTATCTTTTTGCACATTTACACTAATAAATTTCAAATTTTGAAAATTTAAGGTCCACTTGAGAAAATCTAACCCATAACCATTGAAAAGTTTAAAAAATTAACTTTCGTATCAAACAAAAGAATGCAATTTAATCTGCATACAAAACAATGCTAACGAAATTGAAATCTTTAAATTATAATTGTAATATAGTATAATTGAAAATAATTATATAAAATTATTAAAAATTTCTAAATATTTGCCAACAGGCAACAAATCTTTTGAAAAACACTGAGGGAGTCGTCAATCTCACAGTGTGCAATCCAAATCAAAGCAAAGTTGCTCAAGAAGAAGAATTTCGACAAAAAGCCATTAAAGAGGGCAAGGATCCAAATAAAATTGGTGAATTAAATTTTTTTCTTAATTTACAAATTTTTCCCTTAAACTTTTTCATTTCGGTATTTTTTTCAAGGGCCTTAATTTTTGTCGAATACTGTTCGACCCAAGGCCACAATTAACAAACAGTATTCGACTTAAACTTTTTCTAAATCTACTAATATTAATAATTTTGTGAAATAAGTCGCCAAATATTTTATGATAAACAAAAATAATTAAATTTTTCAACAGAAATTCCCAAGGAGCCAGAAAAACCAAAGGAACCAGAAGGATCAAAAGATCCAAAAGACTGTGCCATTAATACTGGAAAAGATACTACTATTGAATTTCCAAAAGAAAAAGACAAACCAATTGGTTTCATTGTTATTGGAGGAAATGATTCGCCTGTTGTGAGTTTATTCTTTAAACTATTTCCCACACTTTATTTAAAAACTGCAGAAAAAGAAATTTTGTCATTCTTAATTCTAGGCCATAGTTTAAAAATAGATTATTCGAAGGATTTCTGAACACAATGGATAAAGAATATTTAAAGTTAAATCTCAATCTAATATAAGAAAACACAAAAAGTGTTTTTAAAAAATTTTAAAACGCGAGAAAAAACTTAGTTAAACTCGACTACTTATTTTTCTTGTTATTTTTGAATTCCTATATTAAGGAAAAAAAAAAATTTTGTAAGGTGAAAAATTTCTTCCATTGCAGAAGCTTAATAACAAAAAATTTGTAATCTTCTTTAACAGAATAATCTAATTCCTTTTTCTTTTGTTAATTTTATCAGAATGGAGTTTTTATACTCGACGTATATCAGGATGGAGCAGCCGGCAAAGATGGACGATTACAACCAGGAGATCGAGTGGTAGAAATAAATAAAGAAAGTATGAAATCAATGGAACAAGAAAGAGCTTATCAAGCTGTTCTAAAAATCGTCAATGGCCCTGTAAGTAAATTACTATTTTTTCGAAACATAGTACAAAATATATCAAAAATACTGCTACGCATAAAATTAAAAAAAAAGTTATAATTATGCCCTCAGTTGGCTTAAATTTTCTATAAAGTTGTTATTCATTCAATAGTTTTGCAATACTGAAGCTTATAAAACACGAGACCACTGAATAACATGACCGATGAAAATACAAAATATTAATTTTACAGGTCCACATGATTGTACATCGTGACCCAAAAGCAGTGGAGGAATTCGAAGTCGATCTTCAGAAAAAGTCTGGGAAAGGATCAGGACTTTGTTTGATAGGTTATAAAAGTGGAAAAGGGGCTTACGTTTCAGAAGTGGTGAGTTATTTTTTCAAAAAAAAGTAATTAATAGCATCTAAAAAATACTGTCTGAATGCTTTTTAAATTATTTAATAATTTAAGTTTTTGTCGTGTTCACTGATCTATTCTGAATGGCGGATGGGCTGCCAAAATTTGTAACTAATTGAGGGTCCCAATCAAAAAATCGGTTATAAGTTTTTAAGACTCAAAATTTTGACATACAGGGCAATGATTTTGAGCTTAAAAAAATTATAACCGGTTCTTTGATTGAGACCCTCAATTGAACACCATTTTCGTTTTCGCCGACCGCAGTTATATGGAAAAAAAAATTAATGACATATTGTTCTACATATTAAGAAATTTACATGATATCAAATATAAAACATATTTTTCTCATTCATTTTAGGTGCCCGGTGGTTGTGCCGCAGAAAGTGGAAAAATAGTAAGAGGCGATAGAATAATTGCCGTGGGTGGACAAGATGTTCGTGATATACCGGTCGAAGAAATTGCGGTGCACGTAAAAATTTCCAATCCAGTGCAATTAAAACTTGCCCGATATAAAGTCAAGTAACAAGGCTAATATATCTCCCCCTCCCCCACACCCCTAAAAAGAGACACCATCCCCCAAAACTATACCAACAATTTTGATACGATGAAAAAGAAGCGAAATTTCGCAAACAGACTATAGAAAACTAATAATTGGACTAGATCAGTATTCATTAGCAATGAGAAAAAAAATAATCGGCGTGCCACGCAATGACTGGCAGAAAAAAAAGTGCGCTAAAATTTGCGATTAAAAAAACATTCAAGAAACAAAATATTCCAAAAAAAGTGACAAAAATCAGTAAAATAAAGAAAACGAACTCAAGGAGAAAAAAAACTATAATTAATATCGCTTTATAAAGTTCTTAACTCGGTTCTAACATATGTGATAATTGAAGTAATAAATTAATATGTTATTTGAAAAGATAACAAAATAAAAGTAGAAGTTATTGAATTTTCAAAACAAATTATAACGAATTTCACGTTAAATGCTATTATATAATATTAAGAAGTTTACCAATTTATACCTCGATTTTGAAGCGCATTTTGTAGCCAGTCGTTGTAATTAGTACTAAATAGAGGTTCGCATACAAAAAAGTGTATTTAAATTTAAAAACGAGGAACAAATTTTCTTTTCTCAGAATTTCTAGGAAAAACATGTCCATTTTATATAATACCTAACAAAACCTTGATATATTGAATGTAGAAAAAAAATCCATACATTTTCATCAATAGTGAAAAAAAAAGTTCTATTTCAATCTTTAAAGGAATTGAGAGAGATTTGCTCGAGTATAATGTAACAGAAATAATTTCATTTAAAATGAGTGAAAGTCGACTGAAAATTCTGCCAAATAAAAATACGTATAAAAAATTTAAATTCTCCTCAAATGAAAAAAAAAAAGGAATTGAAAAAATTAGAAAAACCGAGAAAAAGGCAGTTTTGTCCGTCCGATCATTCACGAAAATTCTGTCCACTAAAAGGATGACCAAATATTTAAAAAAAATCCAAGTGTCCGAAATTTCTAACTTTTATAGAATCTCATTTTTTTGTACAATAGAAATAAATTTTTTTTAAAAATCGTATGTTGTATAAAAACACAACGACTTGACGCTTGATTGATTCCTAAAAACGGTCCTTTCGTGGATCAGTTCGTCAAAATGATCTGCCTATCTCTTTGTACACAATTACCTTTTTTGAAAAAGAAAAATTCAAAACCGAAAAAATAATTTTTTATTTGACAACTTAAAGTCAACTTTCACTCTCTTACTCTCTAACTTCTTCTTTAACTTTATAAGCTACACTTTATTTACTTTACACCTAATTTCGATTACTATTTTATATACAATATATAACGATAATCTATAATTGTTACTTCAAATTTGAAATTCTATTTAAAAAAACTGGCTGCATTTACTCAATGTAATTTATTTATTGTTATGTATATTAGTTGTTAATTTGTTATAAATTAAAAAAATGTTGTCAGTTTAAAAATGCAGTGAGAAAAAACAAAAATTTTAACTATAAAATGAATATTTAAAATTTTTCATTCTGTAGTTTAAAATATTATAGTCTTTTCTCACCTTAAAATGCTGTTGGAAAGTTTATATTATTCAGATATATGTCAGAAAGTATCGAATGCAAAATATTGTAATTTATTGAGCAAAACTCTTTAAACATGCATTTATCTTGGTCCAAAAATCGATTTTCTAAAACAAAAATAATAAATTTAATCTAATTGTATTAATTTCAATTATTAAATTATAAAAGTTATTGGATGAAGTTACAAAAAAGATTATTTAAATTACCGAAAAATATTGATCAGTTAATTTTAAAACTTAAACTAATTAGTTAAGTTTAAAAATTATCAAAAATTATACAAAAACATTTTTGAAGTCGAAAAATTGAATTTTTCTTTAAATTGCCAACAGCAAAATATAAGAATTCAAGAAAAGTTTGATCCTATTTATGAAAATGATACAAACATTTTTTAAATATTTTCCTCTAAAAATTCAAACAAAACTTTCAGAAAATAATATTATTTTGACTCAAATTTTTTCATTTTTGAATAAAGAAACAAAAATTTCATCATTTAGTGATAATAAATATTTTTTTTAATTATAGTTTTATAAAGTTTTCCATTTAGACTCACGAACTAAATAAGAAACTTTCTTTGTGAGTCTAAAAAAACGGTTTTTGAGACCAATCTAAACAAAAAAAAGGAAGAGATATATCGTTTCCACTATACGTATACTTTTATCATGTAAAATTAGTATTATTACTATGAAAATAATCATAAAAGAGTCGTTCGTAAAACGTCTTTTCGAAAAAAAAAGTTGTATAAATTTTAGTGAAAGTTTATGAGCATTGCCTAAAGTCCGTCGTACTATTATATAGTGATAGCAGAGCTTTAAAAAAACGATTTTAGCCGTTTTATCAGAAAAAAAATTCTACGTTCGTTGCGGAAATAAAGCAAAAAATCTTTTTAAAAAAAGACGAGTATTATTATATAATATATTTACTTCTGAAGAAAAAAAAGGGAACACGAGAGAGTATTCCGACATAATGCGGATTCTCTTAATATTTAAAAAGTAGTTTTTTCCGCGTATCCGCGCTGGTACAAGGGAAGAAAATAAAATTGATAATTCAGTGATAATATATTCAATAACTATTTAATGTAATACTTATATTTATGAGCATGGATTTGAAAAACATCTCTAGAAAAAATTAAACAGTCCTTCAACATGTTTGTAAATCCAGAATTTTAGATTTATGTACTTCTCAGATGAGTTACTATATATGTCAAACAAATCAATTAGTCATAATTAATTTTTAAAATAATATGCTACTTTTTAAATATTAACTCAATTTTAAATTTCTATAATCATATTTATATTTAAAAAAGAATCCTTAACTTGATAGCTATAAAATTCCTTTTCTGAACTGCACTTGCAAACTATCTCTTATACTCAAGTAATTTATAATTACAACGTATATATAAAAATTTATTTATTTTGTCAAAAGAATTATAATCCATGAATATATATATAGAAACAAATGTAACTCATCTAATTTTGCCTTAGTTTTATTTCGCGAAAAAAGCGAAAACCAGCGCGGACCTGTCGCTGGATTAATTATATATATTATATATTATGTAAGACTTTGTGAATTTTCGAAAATGATATTATTAAGTATTTAATGAATTGTCGAAACCTATTTAAATAGTAGTTTTATCTTTATGATGTCTTCCAAAGGTAGAAACTATCTTTCTCGATTGTTGATAAAAATAATATGCGAGATCATTCCATTATCATTTTTTTTTCTTTTTTTGACCAATTGAATAAAAAGTAATAAAAATATAAAAAATTTAATTATACGGGAAATATTTCTGCATTTGAAGGACATTTATTGAATCGAAACTTAAAAGTATATATTATATAGGCACCTGTATATTTGTATTGGAAATTCAGAAAATTGTAAATTACATTCGGCTGTCACCTTATTAATTTAGAGAAAATATAGAATGTAAGAATAAAATAACTTTCGAAACCAAATAAAACCATTCATAAAGTATTAAAAGATTGTTATATTCATTTTGTTTGAATTAGATTATTTTTAAAAACCTTATTTAAAATCCCATGACTAATACTGATTTTGAACAAAAGTTTTTATATCATATTTTTTAATAGCTTTTCTATAAATTTATTTACAAAAGCATTTTTTATATGTTATCTTAATTTTTATCCCATCACTTCACTTGAAACAAAATACAAAGATTTTTTCATATTTTTTGGATTAAAAAACTTATAAATGTATTATCCTTGCAAGTATTAAAGTAAAAATTATGCTTCATACTTTGTTTAGCTTACTTATCTTCTTTAAAATTATTAAATTTTTGCAATTTTTTCGGTTTCGTATACTACTTTTAAAATTTAACTTCTTTATCATTATTAAAAAGTAATCGTTTTAAATTAGTTTCAGAATTAAATCTAATTTGGGTCCGATGGTTCTCTAACGATTAATTGTTACACGCCAGCCAAATCCATTTTGGATCGCGGGATCTTATGTTGTAAATAAATAAATAATTAAAGACAACTCACCATACGGTGAATAGAACGTTGGAGATACGTTTGCATCACTCCTGAAAATCATTGCATATTGCCGCGTAAGGGTCACCTTTTTCACATCCTCGTTTATTCTTCACTTTGTTATAAGTAGGGATCATTACGAAAACAAAATGTACATTCAATTTTGTTTTGTTTTCGTTTAAACATACAAAAACCGAATTCAAAACATAAAAGAATTTCGTCTTTGAGACAAAAAACTGTCACATTTAATTTCATCTTTCAAAAGAAAAAAAAACTTGAAATTTTTATGAATTTTTGGTTCTAACAAATCAAAGAGGTTAATAATTAAATTACGGAGATAAAAATAACCCCACAAAACAAATTAAATTTACATAAGACTTAAATAATCTTTCATACACAGTGTTAACCATATATAAGTTTAATTTAAACATTTAATCTTCATGCTACTACATAAAATATTTATATCAACTCAATTAATTATTAAATAACATTAAAAATTAAATTATTTTTTAATATTGTTACGTAATGGACAATTTTTCCTATTTAAAATTTAATGAATAGAATCAACTGTCAAATAAACAATTAGAAATTTATAAATTTCCTTTACCGAGCGGTAAGTAAAGGAAAGTGGGATTAATCCTGATTTAAGAGAGGTCGCACCTAATTCTTCTTTTACTTCAACAATCTAATTTAATCAATTTATAGAATGGAATTTAATATTTAATAGAAAAGAAAAACGTGAATAAACAAATAGAAAAATTAATTCTACATAGAATAAGTTAGAAAGAAATTTAAATAAGAACACAAAATTTTAAAGGAGAAATATATCAGCATACAATTTATTTATTTTACCAAATATCCCAGCAATCGACAGCCCGATGGTGACCCAAAGGGGAAAATTGCTCTAGATTTTTATAGGGTAACTAAACGCCTAGACTTCTGCTCCAAGAGAGAACTCGAACTCGGTTTCTTTGAAAGAACAAAAGTAAAACTGGTTCCTCGAAGGTGTTCCTGGACAGCAAAACTCTCCAGCTCCAACTCGGGCGTGACCGAAGGTACAACCGGGAAGAAGACTTTGCAAAAACTGATCCTTTCATTTTTGGCAAGTCTGAATTTTGAAAAAGTGCCCTTTCCGTTGATGAGGAAAATGGGCTGATCCAAATATTCCTATTGGATCCCTTCTTCTTAGTTTGCGTAAAAATTCTACCCCTACGCAGTGATGGTGGGGATAGACAAAATTTGGGCCTGTGTTGGTGAGGCTCATTTAGAAAGAAGCTGATTTTATGGAAACGATACTGGTCCCTGGTTGTTTTCTTAGGTCTTTGCGCGTCCGTCCTGATCCAGTGGCAATTGATCCCAAAATTACATTTTATTGGGCCTTAGGCAGGAAGGTGGAGACGATGTAATTTTGTCCTTTAGAAATCCTCGAACGATTATCTCTTTAGAGCAGTTGTCTTATTGTCCAGTATGTATAGATCTATTTACAATGATCCCCTTCTAGGCAACCCGAACTATCTTTTGCATAAGGTGTTATAAAATTGACAAAAACAGCTTAAGGCTTTCTACATAAAGTGTTTCAATTTAAGACAAAATAATATTTTCCTACGCAAATCCTTGTTATTTTAAGAATGTTTAAGACGATGAGAAAAGAAGCAAATTTTATAACTACAATACCTATAATATAACAAGAGAAAAACTAATTTAACTATATATGTACATATACATATAAGTATCGCTTACTACAACTATGCATTATATTATTATTTCGACGATAGATATAAACATAAAAATTAAAGAATATGAGTTAATAATTTATTTAGAAGAACGCATAATCTAGAAGAATTCTAAGTAAAATGTCTCTCTGATCCCGATACTCAATTTTATAATGATTAAAAGATATCTATGAATTCAGGAAAAATGTTAATATGTGATAATAATAAGAAATTCTATTGGTTTTGAGTACCTTGGGACGTCACAATATCGAAAAATCCTAACGAACAACTTTTTCGCTAGAACATGAATCTGCCTTTTCAGAAGAATTGCTCTTTCTTTTTAATGCTTTTTTATACAGTCTGTTTGTCCTCAACAGAAGCAAGTCATCTAGGATGTCTCCACTTAAGTTAGCCCTTAAAGATGAGAATATAAATTTCATTCCGGAAAACAATATTTCAACACTCACTTGAGTCATCGGCACCGCATGAACAACAAGTGAGAGTTCATACAACTCTTTTATGAGAGATTTGTTAGTCTCTAAAAATAATAAAAGATTCTCTTTCCTCGGAATACTCGGAAGTTTTTCGAAATCATTCAAAATTTTATCAATGGAATCTCGAGGTGTTAATCTAGCAAGTCTTTTAGTATCTTTCTCTTTCCTCAGTTGCCCTAAAATATCTTCATCATTATCTACACAATTTTGATTAAGAATCTAAATAGAGAGTCAATAGAAGAATTTACTTATAAGTAAATAAATTAATTCCAAGTCAATAAAATCACAATCACTGTAATTTTACAGAAAATTTGGAAAGAAATATTACATCATCATGAGGAGGAAAATCTTTTAATTTCTGCTTTGCAATTGTACAGTTGCTTTCGGTTAAAAAAGGTAAATATCTGGGGTCTAGAAAAAGTGAAGCCAAAAGAGCATCATTTTGTATCAATTTTTTGAGTCCACAATTTGCACTCATTCAAAATTCCAAAAAAATCCCCAGGAAGGAGATTTTTTTTCTGCATCTGGACAGTTGCAATTTTAGATGGTTTTAAAGCCTCATAACAATCCCCCAACCTTTGCCACTCAATTTCAGACAAAAAAGGTCTGGTTTTGTTTCCTCGAAATCTTTACAAAATTCCTTGGCATTTATCAACGACATAATCATATCCGATGTGGAATTCCAACGAGTACCTACATCTAAGATTGGCTTTTTATTAACACCGTATCTTTTTAATGCTTTCAAGCAAGTATCTGTACGTAGAACTTTGACAGCATTTCGAGCCTAATAATTTAAATTCAAATATTAAAATCAATCAAATAAGTTATGTTTTAATTTTTTTAATTTAATTGAATTTGAGATAATAATAATGTTATTAAAAAGCTTTTATTTATTAATTTATTTTTGCATTTGTTATTTATTAATCATTCAATAATTTATTATTTAATAATTTTTAATAATAAAGTAGGGGAAAGGCTTGCATGTTATCCTACTTGCGTTATTTTTTATTCTAGAAGTGTCATAATTAAAAACGCGACTGATATTGATGTCAAATAATTAGTTATTACTTTTTATGATGTTTTGGAGCAAAAAGAAGCAATAAAAATGTTCTTGTCAAATAAATTTTATAATTGACTTGAGGAAAATTTGAAAAATTAAAAATGTGACTTTTTTATGTACTAACAAATGAAATATTTTTATAGATAATTTAATTTACTATTTTTTTTGTGTTTCTTTTTAATCTGTTTTAATAATTCAACAGGAATTTTTAGAATATCATGAATTAATATTTTTTTCATTGATTTAAAAATAGAGTACAAAATTGCAGGTTGACTCACTTTACGGTTGCAGGCCTGAAATGCAAATCCGTAATGATAATTTGGAGTGAATTTACACGATTTTCAATTTAAAAAAATATTTATTTTTCAAAAATATGTTTTATTTAAAAAAAAATTTATTTAATAATAAATTGTTTAAAAATTTTAGGTCCTCTTTCTGATACTATGTTTATAATAAGTCAACTTTGTTTTTTAATGGATTATGAGCAAAACAGCTTCGGTTTGTCAACCTACAAGGTGAAGCCTTTCCCCTATAGATATTAATCATATCTATTATCTATATTTATTAATTTTACTGATTATTGTATCCAAACAAACAAAACTCCTTCCACTCCATCCAGTGATCCTGATCCTGCATCTACATCCTCTTTTCAGTTGTTTGAAAAAGAAAATATCGCGGAAGAGACATTAGAAGATGTTGTTCGAATACCTGCCTCATATGATATGGGTTGGAGCACTAGAGGAACTGTCAGAAACTATGACAGTTTAAATGGATTTGGAGCTGCCATTGGTACCATGTCAGGCATGGTTTTAGATTATTCGACTTGCAACCGATCCTGTAAAAAATGTGAGATTGGACATCATCCATCCGATCATGATTGTCGCAAAATTTTTTTTGGATCTGCTAAAGCAATGGAACCTCACGTTGCAAAAAAAAATGATTGTTGACAGTGAAATACTTCGAGAGCAGAATATTGAAGTTGGTGTCCTAATAGGAGATGATGACAGTTCAACAATATCCACATGTCGAAATGCTAGTAATCATCCAATTGAGTGCTCGTTCAAAAATTGACAACTGCTCGCACTCGTTACGAAATATACTATATTGTATATTTTCATAGATGCTTTACGTATGCTATCATGCAAAACAAAGGTGACACCAGTGCTATGTCAGATGCAATTCGATGCATTCCTTTACACGCATTTAACGATCACAGTAAATGCGG